GAGTGTGTATTTCTGTGTTTTTGTGTGTTGGTAGGATGTTCCGATGGGGGGGGGGGGGGGGGGGGGGGAGGAGTTCCCGCCCAACTCCCAACATAAAGAACATTTTAAACATGAGGTGAAACAACTGAAGAGCTTTACACTTGACTGCATGCAGTGTTATGTTTTTGAATGTTGCGAGGCGAGTCGCAGATTTTTATTACTTTTTTCCTCCATAATTTTACTTTGATACCATGCAATAAGAAGTCATGCAAAAAGATAACACCTAACTTCACGAACACATTTTGGACTGTTAATGCTATGTTATGGATGCTGCTAACATGTCCATGCTGGCCTATAGAGACATTTGTGAGGAAACAGCAGTACTGAAGCCACGGGTCAAACAAACACACAAGGGATGCATGAAGTGGAAAACAACAGAAAATCACAAGTTTTAACTTTTACTTTATGTACCTATGGGATAAAACAAGGAACAGAAAGTTATTTTTTGTTTTCTAAACTCATGTATTTCATTTTTTTTTTTAACATAAAAGACAGAGTTTGATTGGCACTTGATCTGCACTTCTAAACAAGTTATTGATACCTAACATTTGATCGCACATCTACATTTTGAGAAGCTGCGGAGGTTCTAGTTTGGCACAGGTCATACTATGGAGTCTATTATTACTGTTACTACCTTATCAATATGGTATAGTCTTCTATACACCTTCTTGTGCTCCGTTCTGCATGAACACGCCTCTAATCAACAGAACAGACTTAATTTTTTTGTATAGTTTACTTATCAAATAGCAGCATTTTCATAACTTACAAAAAGTACATGTAAACCTACTCATTCAAAATCTTAGTAAATTCAAAGGTTCATACAATAGACAGGAAACACAAAACAGGACAACATGCTACTATATTGCTTCCAATATTCTGAACATTTTCTTACGGTCGAACTAAATAATCAGTGACAGAAATATGAACACTGGCGCTCAGTGATGAGTCTTCATAATGCACAAACAAATGGCGAAGCTAATCTTAGTCAGGCTTAGTTGGCACTCTTCATCATCCACACAAATAGAACACAGTTTCACATTTATCGACAACTCTGGACTGCATTTGGACTACAAACTAGAATAGCTACAGTAAAGTACATTTAGATCATATGACATGAAATATTGTATTCCACAGAAATGAGTTCTAATCATTTTCAGATAGCAGGATATGCATAAAGGACGTCATCGTTTCGGCTTTTGCTTACGAACACGCTGCTCTCTAACACGACTATATTTTGCCTGAACAGTTCGAGCTGCGCCATCAGTTTTAGGTTTAGTCAACCTTCTTTTGGAACAATCAACAAGACCTTCTTTTAAATAACCAAACTGGTCTAAATCGTGCTTGTTTTTCTCAGAAAGTGAATCGGGACACTTTGAGCTAATGTTGCTGGTTGGTTTCAGTGGCGTTGGGTCACAGTTTTGAAGGCAGGTGTTTTCTGTGCATTCTTAGCCTCGTGAACTTTGCAGCCCAGGAAAGCAATTTCACAATCCTATGACCTGTAGTGCATAACTCCCCACCCATGGCAAGACATCACCTGTGAGACAACAAGAGGAAGGAGAAAGAGGGGGAGAGCACAGTGTAGGACAGAGGACAGACAGGGAATCAAATGTTGAGAGAAAGAGAAAAGTTAATGAGGGGCAGAGAGCAACGTGTGGAGCTCTCTGAAGTCAAACCGTCCAGGTGCATGGATCACCCCACCCCTCTGCTTTTGTGCTTGTATCTTATTATGAGTTTAGATCTTGGGCAGTAAAGGGTTTTCTTACATAATGGTTTCACTGGTGGCCAGATTGGATTCAAATGGATGACAGAGAAGATATTTTAGCTGGAAGAAAAGGCTCATTGTTGCAATAATGCTCAAAGTGAAACAGAGAATTTCCAAAAATAAAAAGGCTGAGGATTAATTCACTAAATTGCAAGCATCTGGGATTTTCTTTGACACGTCTCAGCACCCTCCCTCACAACTTTGCAACAACAAAGCTGATCATAGAGCTTGGTTTGATGGGGACAGTTGAAAATGTCTCCTCAGCACAAGGACGTGGACAGAGGAGGACAGGAGAACCCAGAACGGGGACATGAAAATCAGTTGGTAAAATAGGAAAAAGTTCACTAATTTATGTGCAGCGAGTTAGTAAACAGGAACGTCCCCTCTGTCGGTGTGTGTATTTGTGCAGAATAAAATGGGCCAACGCTCTTCAAATTTTGTTGTGAATGTGTCACAGTGCAGTCCTCCTGGGGACTCAGGATGAACACGATGGATAGCAGCACAGAGGGGACGCTGACCTTTGAACGCTCGAGACATTTAGGCAGCCACCATTATACAAACTATTAGGAATAAAAGAAGTGATTTGATGTTTTATTGTATGTTCAACTGTTTTGGGGAACATGATTCTCCTGCCTGAACAAACAGCAGAATTAGTTTTTTTCTTTTGTTGATGCAAATTGGGAAGGATGGCTCACAGACCCTGAACCTACATTTCAAGTATCACTCTATTCCTCTTTTATCAGAGTACGCCTCCTGACTATTTGGTACCCTTAATGTAAAGGCAATAATTTCTTTGTTCACAGATATTGGTTCTTACAGCTTTTCATACCAAAATGCTTTCATAGTGCTTTGATGGTTTTGAGAACTGAAGAAGTTAAACACTGCTTTTAGATAAATGAGAATTAAACATGTCTGTGTAAGGCAAAAACCATGTCAGTTAAAGTATATTTAAAGATATATAGCTTTTGTGAATTTAAAAAAAAAGTGGGTTTCTTTTTAAATTACTGAAATCAGTTATTTGTCATTAGGTGGGAGTTTAGGTCAGATCTGGTGGGCTACTTATGTCCAGATGATGCTTCAGCTACTTTAAAGTAAACTGTGGAATCGTTACAGAGATCTGAATGAACCTAATCCTATAGCACCAGAAAGGGTTCAAAAACAGCAGATCTTCTGTTTGTCGCAGTAACTCAAATTACAAACATGTTTTAGTGTTTGTGCATTAGTGGGAGCGTTACTGAGGAGAGTGTGTAAAACATGTATACATTCCTGTGTGTCTCCTCTATCCTCTCACACTGATTATTTAAACCCTGAACTCTGACCCAGTTCAGACCAGGTCTGAGTTATACATTTCTGTCATTACAACACAATTTTTTTTTTTTAATCGCTGTAAATAAAAAATAGACGTGGGCTAATATTGTTTTACATTCACATCAACCTACACTTGCAGGTTTAAAAAAATCTGTTAGAATGAGACCGTGTCAAGAAATTAAAGGATAAAATTATAAAATACCCAAATTTAGAAACTTCAATTATAATATGAATGAACAGAGCGATTACAATAGGCTTTCGCAGCGCTTCACTGCTCGGGCCTAATTAAAATTCAACGTAAATGTATTCTTAGATTGAGCTCAGGTGCTCTCCCGTTTTAAACGAGTGAAGTTTCTAGAGCCAATAGTTGTCTGACGAGCTCAGCTCACTGGGAGCTGAGGTTTCAAACTGATACTTAACCAAAAATAAAATCCAAACACAAGAAAAATAACAAATATTAATAATAATGAGGTTTTGGAGGAGGTTAAGACCTTGCGGCCTCATCATTGAATCTGCATATTGGCAGTGGACCAGTTCAGCTTCCTCTGATTGCTATTGTCAAAAAGACTCGACACAAACTTTTTAAAAACAGGACATCAGTCCTACAAACACTCATATGTCACACACACTTATCTTTTTCATATCCCTCACCTCCTCCTTTGCAATTCTTTCTTTTGATACTTAAATATTGAACATATATTTGGAAATTTTTTTCTGTTTATCTTGTCGTTCAGTTTCTTTCTTTTTCCATCTCCATCTTTTTCTTCATTTCCCTTCATTTTTATTTTAGCCCACTTTTTGTGGGTTGGTGGCGCGCACCCCCTGCTCGTACGTGATCCGCTGGCTGATCAGATACTGTGCAGCTTGTGTAGCGGCTGGTGACCCTGTTATGGTGACTTTACGGTTCCGTGTACCAGGAATGAACTCTCCTTTTTTAGAAATCTGGATGCGGGCTCCTGTTAGCTCTTGGTACTCTACCAGCGTTTTCCCTCCTTTTCCTAAAATGGCACCCACCAGGTTTTCGGGCACAGCAATTTCAACCACATCCTTGGTGCCGTCTGTCAGCTTCTCTGTTGCTAACAGGGATGAGGCCATCAGTGGGGATGAAGCATTAAGGTAACCATTGGAAGCCCCAGTAGCAGCTGCTAGTGAACCCAGGGAGAAGCCACTGAGGCCTGTAGCGGGGTGGCCGGCACTGCTGGATGCATCATTAGCGTAGGAGGCTAACAGGTTTGCTGCAGCTGCAGCAGCAGGGTTAGCGCTAGCTGCAACTGCTGCCAGAACTCCTGAGGCAGCTGCAGGATTGAGACCCAGGCCTAGGGTGTTGGTGTTGTAGCCATAGCTGGCCAGCGTATTCAGGGCTGAGGTGATGGCCAAGAGATCATTGCCAGAGAAACTAGACATGGTGGCAGGGAAGGCACCCATTCCTGTGAGTCCGGCCTGACCCAAAAGGCTGGAGGCAGTGGCAGCCGCTGCAGCTGCATTGGGCAGCACCTCGGCTGTATTAGCGTAGGGGGAGCCTGTGGGGTTGGAGTTAGCTACTGGACCAGAGATGTTGGAATAGCTGATGTTGAGGCAGCTACTGCTCTGAGGATCCTCCTGGATTTTCTGCACAATGATTTCCACAGCCTTACGGTTCTGTTCGGGTTCCCCACTGATGGTTACCACTCGCTCCTGCAGGTTGATGCCCTCTGGCTTCTGTGAGAGCTGTACCCAAGCCCCCGATTGCTCCATCACTGCTTTCACCGTGGCTCCACCTTTACCAATGATCAGCCCAGCTGTACTATTGGGCACAATCAGTTTGGCCTGCAGAGAAACAAAAAAAATATCAGTGGTAGTAAAAATCATAAAGCATGAGAGAAACTGAACGGCGTAAATAGTAAACAGACAGACAGATGTCTTCCACTGAGTGACAGGACTACACCAGCTCTCATGTTACTTAGCAGTTTGTTAATCCGTGGGGTTCAGCTGCAGCTCTACATTACCATACCATACCATTTTATTTATAGAGCACTTAAAACAGCGACAAGTCCAACCAAAGTGCTGTACAGACAGAACAACAGGTAACACACAAAGCAAAATACAAAATGAAGTAAATCAGAAATATAGACATAAAAACAATGACGACAAACCAGTGTGGAGCATACAGGTTCAAAAGGAATGCACGGTTTAGGAGTTAGATGGGGGAGGGTGAACTCGAACTGGACTGGCATGTGGTTTGAAAAAACATTATCACCAATTTCAAGATTACTAACAGTCACATCACATGTTAAAACAAGGTCCAGTGTATGTCCGCGCACTTGGGTGGGACTGTTTACATGCTGAGTTAGATTAAATGAGTCCAAGAAATCTAAAAAGTCCTTAACCAATGGCTTCTCAGGACAGCACACATGCAAATTAAAGTCCCCAAAAATGAAAACATGATTATATTTTGGTGTGATTTTAGCCTAGAAGTCAGAAAACTCATTTATGAAATCCTTAGATCGAGGTGGGTGGTAAACGAGTGCACATAACATCGGAGGTGAATGGCCGAGTTCACAGACGCTCAGCTCCAAGCTGGCACGGGAAACTGGGATGGGCAGTTGTTTACAGTCCAAAGTTGATTTGAATATTGTTAATAATCCACTACCGTGCCGGCCTGATGGCCGTGGTGCCTTAAAACTCAGACAGTTTGGTGGCAATAATTCCGTCAAGGCGCTGGACTCATCCAGAGACATCCAAGTCTCTGTGATGCACAAAAAGTCCAAATCATGCTCTTGAAAGTAGACCCTAATGATAAAAGTTTTGTTGGTAACAGATCTTGCTTTGACCAAACACATCCGGATATTGTCCAAAGTGGAGCCAGCAGCAGTGAAGTTTGCGCGCCCCAATGGCCGCAGGTTTTCAATAACAGCCCCTCCGGGTCGGTCCGAGCTGTGCACTGGCTGACAACTCCCGTTGTTTACCTGGTCCGGGCACGTGGGAAGCTGGCGATGGAAACCCTGACCACCAGCTGAAGAGGAAGATACAGTGCGCAGGGCTTTAAGCTTTACCAGCCGCCCGGCAGGTTTTCCCCAGCGTCTGAAGGGATGTCTCCGGGCAGGGAGGTGAGGAGTGCACGGAGGTAAACTGGCACGTCTGCCAGCAGGGGGTGGAGGAGGGGGGGTCCAGAGGTACGCTCATATTGTTCCAAATAAGCGACATTGATAACAGAAAAACAAAGATCCAGAAGCTGTTGTCGGTAGGGCTGCAACAACGAATCGATAAAATCGATAAAAATCGATAAAAATCGATGATTAAAAGCGTTGGCAATGAATTTCGTTATCGATTCGTTGTGTCGCGCGATTATGCGTCTTTCACGGCGCTGCGGAGCCGTTTCGTTTTGTTCACCTGCAGTTCATTGTCAATGCTGACTGACTGAATAAAGTTTGAAAAAAAAAAAAAAACTGCAGCGCGAGTTGAACAGAGCGAGGGGGGAGGAGGAAGCAGAGATTAGTGTTTTCAAAGGAAATTAAGTAAATTTTACAACTGACCAACGCAGCGAAAACTGTTCGACCCAAGTCCTCCAAAGTGTGGGAGCTCTTCACAAAGATAAAAAATGAGAAGCATGCCACTTTGAAAATTCACGACACAACACGGGAGAACCACGGAGATAAATGTAAACATGTTGGAGTCACGAGGAGGAGTCATGAGCTGCAGCTGATACATGTTTAACTCCCAACTCGTGTTGCAGGTGAGTCTCTACAATTTATCACATTGTTCTGGTTCAAGAGAGAAAACGTAACGTCAGTCTGTCTGTAGCTGAAACTGCTGTTTGTTTGTTTATCTGATTAATGGCGGTGATAGAGAACGTGTGTTACTTTTTATTTAATTTAATTGGTACAAGCAGTGTTTAAATGTGATTTATAAATAAATCTAACACAAAGATAATCATTTAATGATTAAGCTTCAACTTTTAATTTGTTGGCAAAGTCTGAAGACACTGCAGGTATGGCAGGATGAATTGCATTTAAACAGGAATTAAAGTAATTTATTACATCTACTCAAATGTGTGTAATTAAGTATTTTATATATATGTGTGTGTGTGTGTGTGTGTGTGTGTGTGTGTGTGTGTGTGTGTGTGTGTGTGTGTGTGTGTGTGTGTGTGTAATTGCTCTTTTAGCTACTTTTGCCTGAACCTAACACTGTAAGTGAAACAAGGCATTTCTTGAGTTGCTGTAAAAAATTATGCTATAAAACATATTTACTGTCTCATTCCAGAAAACAACAACAAACAACAACATCCTTCATGATGGACAGACATCATGGACACCACAGCAGCAGCTGTCTTCACTGAAACATCCTTAAATGATCGTCACTGACATGAGGCCTCTGTCGATGGTTGAAGACGAAGGCTTCACTACAATAATCCACACTTTTAATCCAGGTTACAATAATCCACACTTTTAATCCAGGTTACACTCTTCCCTCAAGGACACATTTTACAAAGTAGCTACATATTGTGCAGGTATAAAGATACATTTGTATATATTTTTGTGTACATTTGTTTTTTTAAGCTATTTGACTAACTTTTATTTTTTTATTATTCAATATTTTACTAACACAATAGTCAAATAGCAACTTATTTTTAGTGTGAATTGCTATTTCAGTCAAATGTTCAATTTTGGAATAAAGGGGTGGAAATTAAAACGTTTTTTTTTTTTTGCAGATTCATCGATTAATCGAAAAAATGATCGTCCGATGAATCGATTATTGAAATAATCGTTAGTTGCAGCCCTAGTTGTCGGTCATACATCAGTAGTGAGTCTATATCACAGATAAAAAATGAACAAAACAAAAATAATCCGAATACCATCAGCAAGCCATGTACACGGCACCATCTTATCGGAAGTTGACACATTGACACATGGCTGTGTCTAACAATGGAAGACTGACTCACGTTTTCCTGACCCTACCACAATGTCAGAGTCAGAGTCAGAGTCAGAGTTTCTTTATTGTCATTCGCACCTCATGTGGTACATGTGGTGGAGCGAAATTATGTACGCAGGGTCCCAGTTACATCCAACAATAAAATGTATAAGAAAAACAGTAATGACATCTAAGATATGAACTAAGAAAAACATCAACTAAATATACACTAAGCACTCATAACATAAAACATTGAACATCAGCACAAACATGAACATGAGTCTGTGAGCAGATGTGCACGCATGAACACATCAACATTGAAACAGATCAGCAGCAACATGATATGGTTTTTCACAGTGATTATTCTAGTTAGAGATTCATGAGTCTAACAGCCTCAGGGTAGAAGCTGTTCCTCAGTCTAGTGGTTCTACACTTAATGCTCCTTAACCTCCTTCCTGAGGGGAGTGGGGCAAAAAGTGTGTGTGCTGGGTGGGTGGGGTCCTTCATGATGCAGGTGGCCCTCTTCCTGCATCTGGAGGTGTAGATGTCTGTGATGGTGGGGAGACTGATTCCAACAGATTTCTGTGCAGCCTTCACCACTCTCTGCAAAGCTTTTCTTTCTGCAGCTGTGCAGCCTCCATGCCACACATTGATGCTCGAGCACAGGATGCTCTCCACTGCACACCTGTAGAAGGAGGTGAGGACTGAGCTTCCCAGACCAGCTCGCCTCAGCCGTCTGAGGAAGTATGTAGGCCATGGACAACATAACAGGGAAGATCTGGAATAAATTGACCAAAGTAAGTCATTCTAATGAACAGGTGTTGTTACCTTAACACAGGTTCTGCAAAATTTTACTTGGTCCTTGTCCACCCGGTAACATTCTTTTTCAAAACCATTTATTTTTATTAGTTGCGTCTAAAAAATCTCATTCCCAATATTCTCATCATAGCCATCGCAACCATTATATGTGAAAGGGACATGTCCCCCCGAAATTCAAAAAGCGTTCATTTGGACCTCCCTCCCCCCACTTTTACTATAAAACGTTAGTTCTGTCGGCGCAGTTTCTCTTTCTTTGTGAACAAATCCATTCCACTTGAATAACAGGAGAATACTCATGCCACTAAAAATCCACTCCACGTTTTCCTGGTTACCTCCTCCAACCTGCTTTGTTTCTGGTCTGTGTCTCCTGCCTTGCCCTCGGCAGAAAACGCGCACAGCTGGCGAAGATGGAGACACTTCTGTGTTGCTCGTTCGCCAGTTTAGCGAGCTTAGTGCTGTCAGTTATTGACCGGGGGGGTTGATCATAAACATATATACATGGTTAGCAGGATGCTTGAGAGAAGTGCAGCGCTACGTACGTCTGTAGCATCTTAGCTTAGCAGTAACTGTGACGCTGTAAGACGCTGCAGGTGTAAGAGACGCTGTATGTTAAGGTGCATTAAAGTTTAAAAGTCTTTAGCACCTCCCCCCCCCCCCCCCCCATCTTATTGTCCTCAAGCTTTGTGAGAAACATCCTTTAAATGAGTAGTGTTGAACACAAGTAAAAAAGTCCAGTGGCAATGTTTTTTATTTCTCTATAAACAAAATAGTGCCGACCTGACACTCTGTATTAAGTAGTTGAAATGTCTTTAAAACAGTTGAATTTACACAAACGGTGAGAAACATGCTTTAAATGGAACTAAAGTAAGGAAACTTAGATGAAATGCTGCTTTTTTGTAAACTAGTGTACAATTTGTTGCACACTGGTGTGCGTGCATACGCACGTGCGCGCACACACACATACACAAACACACAGTGATACATTCCAGCTTTTAAATGTAAATGAATCTTTTTCTTACACCAAGGTTACTCATGGACTTCCTCAGGTTTCAGTGTTTGGACCAATACGCTTTACCTGGTATATGCTTCCATTAGGTAAT